GTGAAGTAGGAGAGGTACCAAGTGTAAAACCCAACAGTATCTTAGACTATGAGGAGGAACGGGAACCCAACTAATCCGACAGACAAGTAAAATATTAATTTCCTATAGCTGGGTTAGGTAATTGGTACAATAGGTACAGAGCTCTCTTCTCCCCATCCTGTGCTTGGAAGGTTCCCCCACAGATGACCAAAAGCTACTTCTTCACCCAGCACCCGGGGCTCAGCCCCAATATTTCACCAAAATTATTAAATCACCAACATCCTCCAGACAACATGTTGATCCTTCATCTCTGGACCTGTACCTGCTATGAGGTGGAAACGCTGAAATATTCTCCTGTGAGAACAATCATACCCCACCGTTGGTGTTCTCAGACTGTTCCAATGACTGCAGAACAGAAGATTTAGACCTCATTCACACGAGAAAAGGTTGGCTCGTACAGCTCCGTGGTATTCCTGGTAAGGACAGGTGCTGCGTGTGATTAGCATGCAGCCCCTGTCCTTCTCTATGGGAGTATGCGGCCATACGCCCCCCTACGCTCACCCCAAGTGCAGGTCAGTACAGTGCGGGTGTCCCAGTTCGCACGCAGACAGGATCCATCCTGTCTATGTACGAATATGGACACCCGCACGGACGTGCAGGGCGGCTTACGGCCGCATACTCCCATAGAGTACAGGGGCTGCGTACTAATCACACGCAAAACCGGTCCTTCATGGGAGCTGCCCGATACGGAGCTGTACGCGCCGGCCGATTCTCGTGTGAATGAGGCCTTAAAATAATCACATGACTATAAAGCAGGGCGGTTTTCCTCCGTTAAGCGAAGTTTATGTTCACAACTGTGACCAGGAATCATTAAAGCTTAGATGGCCTCAGCCAGCGTGCGTCCGTTAACTTGCCTATAACTCTAACTTGCATCCCAAAATAATGAAAACATTTTTAAAGGACACAAAGCTTTTATTGTTATTTTCCCTCCCTAGACAAAACGAGCACTTATCCTTTGCAGAAGAGCCAATGCAAGGGTCAAGATTGTTTTTTTTCAAAGATCTGATTGAAAAGGAGAACTATGAGGTGAGTGACTTACACTCCTCCTCATAGTTCGAGCCGACGTGAGACAATGAAACTGCCACACGTCGGCTCAATAGATCGGGAAGTGAGCGAGCACATACCGTTGCTCGCTCACTTCTCGATCATATTCCTGCAGAGAGCGGTGACTGTCACTCACGGCTCCCCGCAGGGGTTCCTCCCTCGCCTCTCTGATCCTCCAGCACTGACTGGAGGAACGGAGGGGGAAGGTACAACTGGCTCTGAGATATGCCAAGTCAGCTGTCAATCAGCCAGCAGGGTGGATCTGGACAGTATTGTCGGTATCCCAGATGCGGCGCTCTCAGTATATATAGCGGCCAATAGCTCGCTATATACTGAGCGTTGGGTCACGGGAGGACGTTAGTATATGTCGTCCCATGACCCTAAAGAGAACTATGATAAAAAGGCTACCTCATAGTTTTCTTTTCACAGTTAGCCTGAAACAGCGTTCACGTGATCGGGAGCTATTCTGATTGGCTCCTGATCATCAGTGGGCAGGCAGAAACGGTTTAACGTTTCGGGAGGATTTAAATGGAAGCTCCGAGTATAAAAATACGACCGTTCCTGCAGCTAACTTGTTCATAAAGGCGAAGACATCCTTAATCCCTCCTTGCAGCTGCTTAACTGTAGGGATGCCGATGTAACACTTACTTCTAGTCAGTAAGCTGCAAGGAACATAAATTCACCATCAACTAACACAACGAGACATTTCTGAAGACAACAATGGTCTGTTTTCATTTCAGGAAGACGAAGGACAAAAAACAGAACAGGTGAGAGGACTTGCAGAGAGATGCGGTGAAGGAACCCTCCTCATGCCCATCCACCCCCATGCAGGGCAGGAACACATGCAACAACCACCCCACTCCCTATTTCATAATCTGGTGCAGACAGCGGAGGTGCAATGTGCAGCTGACACTCATCCTCGCCTTCTTCCACAAGCTGACCCCTCCGGCTTCAATTACCACCACTGATTTGTTCCAGACCAGAGTGGTTAGAGAGTATCAATAAACTTATTGTACATCTGTCCTCTGAGTATAAGCAGGACTAGACAAAACATGACTTGTTTCATTAAAATCTCATCATATTTGCCCAGATTTACAATTTTTAACCAGCAGCTGAAATTTCCCCTTTGCCATGTTTATCCGAACTGCTTTGCTATAAAAAAAATAAATCCTGTTTAGAGAGCTCAATACTGCAAGCTGCAACTTACACATTAAATGAAAACAAATGCCCCCCGTGCCTGTTGCTTCGGAGTTATTTCCCTTATGAACTCGGCCCATCCTCCACACCCCCCGAAAGGACCAAAAGAACCTCCATAATGTTATGAGAACAATAATGCAAATAAGATGTCCACCCAGGGAACCTTCTCCCTCTGGCTTGTGTTGTCCTTTAAGGACTGGCTGATGAAACCGCAGGGCAGAGGATGTGCAGACACATATGTGAAGTGGGCAGAGAGCACATTACCGAAATAATTAGGGATGCACCGATATAACGGCCAAAAATGGCACTTTTGGCATAATGCCGAAAGTGCCGTTTTCTGGCCGATACAGAGGTGCATCCATTCTTTCTCTCCTCCCCGCTGGGCGCTCCTCTGTGTCCCAGCGGGGAGGAGAGAAAGTGTCACAGGTGGCCGAGTGCTGCGGGAGGAGAGCGCTGTGAGCGGCCGGCGTCTCCTCCCACACCTCTCAGCCTCCTTTCACAGATGAGGAGAGCAGTGTGGGCGGAGACAGCTCTCCTCCCTGCACCGCTCGCTCAGCCTCCTGCGACAGGAGGCTGAGCTCTCCTACCTACACCGCTCGCTCAGCCTCCTGCGACAGGAGGCTGAGCTCTCCTCCCTGCACCGCTCGCTCAGCCTCCTGTCAGAGAGGAGAGTGTGTACTAGCGGTCAGTGATCGCTGAGTGTTTGTACATAATTGAGGACAGAGTATGGTTACCTCAACCTAACCACTCAACCATCACGTTCTCAAACAATTCATCCCCACACAGCTACCTCCTCATGTATCACTTACCTCTACTCTTTTAGATTGTAAGCCCTCAGGGGCAGGGCCCTCCTTACCGTCTTGTCTTGAATTGTGATTGTAATGTCTTCCTTATATTGTAAAGCGCTGCGCAAACTGTGGGCGCTATATAAATACTATGTAATAATAATAACCTCAATTATGGATGAATGGGAAGTGATCTACTTCACTTCCTGTTCATTCATGATTGTGGTTATAATAAACACACTCTGACCTCATGTTATGAATGATCAGGAACACTCAGTATAGAGGATTCCTGTTCATTGATAACAGGGGCTGCAGAAAAAGAGATTGAGGACTCTGTGTCCTCCATCTCTTATTTATTTTAAAAGGGACATATCAGGGGTCTGTTTAGACCCCCAATATTTCCCTGAAGCCCCTAAAAGTAAAAGATTAAATTATTTTATTTAAAAAATGAATAAAAATACAAAAAATGAAAATATTTATAAAAAATAAAAATAAAACTTTTGAAAAAGTTAAAATAAAAAACATTTTCGGCTACAGCCTGACTTTTTTAAATTTCGGTTTCGGAATTCTCATTTTGGGGCACCTCTAGAAATAATATTAACATTTGGATCTGAGAGTTTTTTTAAATCTTGGTATGTTGGGTGGAGATCTCCTTTAACACCTAAAACAAACACCACGTGTGACTATTCACAAATTGTCTCATCTCGTTTGTCAGAACCACACAGCGATCAGCTAAAACATGAAACCCATGCTGCAAAAGCCACGTACCGGTCCAGTGACATGCAGGTGCGCGTTCACACACAAGCCCCCACCCCTCAAAACACAATGTTTGCAGACGTGTCTGACGGGAACATGCTATTAGCCGGGCGGGAGTGCAGACAGCCAGTGTCACCGTGTGCCCAGCTCACACCTGCCGGCATCCTCGGGGGTTCTGGGCCTGTTCTGCCGCGACTGGTACAGCTTCTTTGCCAGAGATTGCTCATACTGCTTAATACTGTCCTCCAGAGTGCTGCCCGCAGGAACAGGGAGAGAGACAGCAGCCAGAAGAGAGAGAAACGAGAGAATAAGGAGACCGGAGACCAGGAACACGTCTACTACACAGAGCAGGACAGAGAGAGTGGAAACAGTCTATAACTACAGAACCTGAGGAGGCCTTGTTCATCAATGTGTCTGAGAAAAGAATTTCATCATTTAGTATCACATTCTTCCTTCCTATCTGCCAAAATGCTCTGACACAAAAGGAGAAACGGATTGGCTGACTGGGACAGTTCTCAGTGCAAATATACAAAATGTGGACACCGGACCATAACAACTACATGGAGCTCGTTGGACACCCCATCCCAGAACCATGACCATTACTAGATGAGTTGCCTCTTAGTGGCTAAGACATCCTCCAATATTCCTTCCTACAAGGTTTTGGGGGTCTCTGTGGGCATTTGTACCCATTTATGAGTACAGTTACAGATGTTGGATGAGAAGACCTGGCTCACAATCCAATTCATCCCAAAGGTGTTCACAGCAGGGTTGAGGTCAAAGCTCCCTGAAGTCCACTTCAATTCCCCCAACCCAAACCCTTCAAACCATAGAGGTGGCTTTGTGCACAGTCATGGTGGAAGAAAACAGTCTTCAAACTGTTAGCACAACATTGGGAGATCATAAGTATCTAAGATGTCTTTGTATGCTCTAGTGTTCACCGTACCCTTCACTGGAGACACCTGAATGCAATCATTGGGAGGGGAGTCCACATACGTTTGGCCATATAGGTAGGTATGATGGTCAGGTGACCACAAATGTTAGCCATAGAGGTTAAAATGGATATTCAAACCAGGCAAAGCAATAAACAGAGCAATTTTATTATCAATCTGGTTTCAATAGTCCGGTTCTTACAAGCACCGAGTTGAAGTGCTGGAGGGGCACCTTGTTTACAAGTGTTTTATTACTTCCCGCAAGCAGCTTCACTGGCCAACAAGCACTTGCCATAGCCAACCAATGGCTTAGTTCTGGCAAGTGTTTCGGAGGCATTTGGTGTAATGTTAATGTAAGGTCTGCCTGTGAGTAATACAACACTCAATATAAAATAAACTACTCCTTACTATTAGGGATGCACCCATACAGAGTATTTGGCCGAGTACTTACCTCCGATACGGGAACTTCCGGTCGGAAGTGCCGAGGGAGCATGGAGTCGGCTTCCTTTCCAATCAGGAAGCCAGGCGGTGGGTTATGACCCGCCTCCCTGATTGGCTAGGATGCCGGCTTCACTTTTTGCTAGGCAGCCTGGCAGCAAGCAATGGCCCATCTCCCTAGCCAATCAGGAAGCCGGGCGGTACGTAATGACCCACCTCCCGGTTTCCTGATTGGCTAGGAAGCCAGCTGCACTTATTGGTAAGCAGCCTGGCTTCCTGACCAATCAGGACGGCACCTCGTGACTCGCCTCACGGCTTCCTGATTGGTAAGGAAGCCTCGGCATGTAAAGACTGTGTTTTTGCTAGAAGAACGGCTTCACAGGCAATCAGGAAGCCGGGCGACGGGTTATGATCCGCCGCCCGGCTTCCTGATAATCTGGGCACACGGCAATGGTACTCGGTATCGGTGAGTAACGGAAAGAAGTATTGATACCCGTACTTGATACCGGAAATAACAGTATCGGTGCATCCCTTCTTACTGGTCCTCAATCCTTCTCCCAGGGAAGAGGAGATCTAGTGGTGGATACTGATCTGCATCTAACAAACTGGGAAGTGTCTGACAAGGCAATGCAGGCACTCCAGACACAGAGATGAAGAAGGCCCACTGTGTACAGGAATATGGAGGATTGGATCCTGCTCCGAAGTCAGCGATTGCTCATATCCCGATATACAGGATAAAGATGAAGGAAATGGGGCGGAGAATTTCTGATCTAGAGCGTGTAATAGAAGGCAACACTGCAACACAAAACCGGGCCAAGGAAACAATGGTAAAAGACAGTAAAAATTCCACACAGGGTTATACCCAATATTGGGTGGATGCCACAAGCTGCTTACATTTCAGGGCCTTGTAGCTGTGACCTCCCAAGCTGGGCTTTCCGATTCTGCTCCACCTCCTCTAGTCCACTTGGACTTTAGCAGGGGAGGAACAAGAAGACAGGCGTTACTATTAGAATCCCAAAAAAGAGGTAAGCCAAGGAATCCAGCTAGCACTGAAATATCAGGTATATAGGGGGCAGTGAGCGTTATAAATATGCGCCCTCTTCACCAATATATTCCGAGAAGTCCATGTGTTGGACTTAACAATAAATCTCTGAGACTACACAACTACAGCTCCCAGCATGCTCAGTCTGATGCAGATTAGTCTCACCTGGCGGCTCTCCACATGGCCCGTTTTTCAGCCTGCAATGCTCTGCGCTCTGCAGGTGACAGCTGCATCTCCTCTTCTGTTAACTCGGGGCTCTGCATCTTCAGACGTTCCTGCAGCCGTCTCTCCGCTTTGGCAGTGCGTACTGGGGCTGCCCCATCCATACCGGCGGGGTACACCGGACTCAGCCTGGGCGGGGTAACAAGACAAAAAGTGATGAGAACAGTAAAATTTGACAGACTGTTAGGGCTTTATTTAAACAGTGAACGGATATCACTATGGGCAGGCCATTGGTTTGTTAAGGCCACACAGTGCCTGCCCATCATAATCAGTCCTTAAAATGGAAGCCATGGTGTTGAGCCTGCAGCGTCCCTCTTAAAGGAGAACTATGAGGTGAGTGAAAATCACTCATCTTCATAGTTCAAGCCGACGTGTGACAATGAAACTGTCACACGTCGGCTCAATAGATCGGGAAGTGAGCGAACACATACCGTCGCTCGCTTCTCCATCATCTCCCTGCAGAGAGTGGTGACTGTCAGTCACGGCTCCCTACAGGGATTCCCCCCGTCCCCGCTCCGATCCTCTAGTGCTGGCTGAAGGAACGGATGGGGGAGGGGGCGGGCACAGCTGGCTCTGCCTCTAGATAGGCAGAACCGGCTGTTATTCACGCAGCTGCGGCGGTCTCAGTATACTGCAAGCTGTAGCTCCCTATATACGGAGCTTTGGGTCACGGGAGGACGCTAGTATATGTCCTTCCATGACCCTTAGGAGAACTATGGGGAAAAACACTTACCCCATAGTTCTCTTTTAATGCTCACTGCATACCGCTGCGGAGAAATCTCCGAGAGTAGGATAGCTCAAATGACCGAGAGGGTCATGTGACCATACTCTCCTGTTCCTGGTACATTGAAGTGATTGGGACTCGGTGTATATATGGTATGGCCCTGTGCCGGGACAAAGTATCTCCAATGTGCATGGGCAGAAGTTACATCATCCCGACCAATCAAGATGGCGGAAAACTCCTAACTTGGAAGATGACCGGTAGAAGATGAACCGTTGGTGCCAGGAGGATCGTGGCCATTGCATCAACGCATAAAGGAATTCACAATGTAAGCATGCCATTTGCTCAGCATACTTGCACATTAGGGCAAAAGCTCCCCCCTCCTACATTCCTCAGTAGCTTTGCTTCACTTTAATGTGACATGAAACCCTCAGATTTTTTAACATAAACCAATACTGTAATGTGCGCCTTACTGTAATCCATGGTTGTTTCCCTTCTCTTTGCTGCTCTTCCTTTTAAATCTGTATCTGTTCTCATGCTCTGCAGAACTTCTGTTTTGCAGCAGACTGCCGTGTCTCTGAAATGGATACACGGTGTCTGTGTGTAGGCTTGCAACCTGAGCCAGCACTACAGGAAGAGGCACTCAGCCGCAAAGGGAAGTTCTCCCCAAGCATGAGAAGAGATCAGGATTTAAACGGAAGAGCAGCAAAGAGAAGGGAAGCTACCATGGATTACAGTAAGGCGCACATTACAGTATTGGTTTATGTTAAAAAATCTGAGGGTTTAATGTCACTTTAAACATCTCATAATCAAAAGGAGAAACATCAGAACATAAAGTACATGGAGGATATGCAAAGAAAAATTGCAGTTTTACAATAAGAACTATTACCCTCTCTTGCTGAGGTCTCTTCTGTTATAGTGACATCCACAGAAAAGACAGAAAACTGACCTCTAGACTCCAAGGGTAGAGGGAAGAATGTATAGAGGAGGAACAATGCATATATCTCACCCCGACATGAAGTTCGGTCTTTGCTCCATCCTGAAAGAATCCTCAAGAGAATTCCTCTGAGATTCAGATGGCGATAACCTGGATGGCAAAAACAATACGTTATAACACCCCAATACAAAACACACCCCATGCTGCTGATAAGGTACACAACAAAAAAGAAACACGTGAATGCCGCAGAAAACAGAATGTGGACATCGGTGGGGGAAGGAATGTCCTTAGGAGAGCAATCAGATTGGCTATGAATGGTCTCATGCAATGAATACAACTGCTTTTTCCATGGCTTTGTGTAAAAACAGACTTTCATGAATTCATTTCTATAGAGAAGTCCATGTGGTTTTATTTGTATGCCTGAGCAAAATTATTATTATACAGGATTTATATAGCGCCAACAGTCTGCGCAGCGCTTTACAATATAAGGAAGACATTACAATTACAATACAATTCAAGACAAGATGGTAAAGAGGGCCCTGCCCCTGAGGGCTTACAATCTACAAGGATGGGGCAAGTGATACATGAGGAGGGAGCTGTGTGGGGATGAATTGTCTGAGAACGTGATGGTTGAGTGGTTTGGTTGAGGTGGGATAGGCTTCCCTGAAGAGATGAGTCTTAAGGGATCACCTAAAGGCAGTAAAGGTGGGCGACAGACGGACAGGTTGGGGTAAAGAGTTCCAGAGTATGGGAGAGACTCTAGTGAAGTCCTGGAGGCGAGCATGGGAGGAGTTGATGAGGGAGCTGGAAAGCAGGAGGTATTTTGAAGAGCAGAGGGGGCGGTTAGGGTGATACTTTCAGACAAGGTTTGAGATATAGCCGGGGGCGGAGTTGTAGATGGCTTTGTAAGTCATTATTAGTATTTTGGATTTTATCCTTTGGGCTATTGGAAGCCAGCGTAGGGATCGGCAGAGAGGGGTGGGGGATGGAAGCCAGTGGAGGGATCGGCAGAGAGGGGTGGGGG